GTAACACACACTTTTCACTATTTATGTTATGAGTCCCATGTAATAGGGGGTGAGCCTTTTGACATATACTTAACGGGCACAATTCCAGACTCAGTGCTACTACTAAGATTTTTCTGTTTTTTAATTGCCATTAACGTCATAATGGACAATGAACAAAATAAATCGACGTCGAAATAGAGATGGTATAATTATTTTCTCGATTCTTGGTTGCCGATTGATGAACCGATCGCCATTTTCGACACCAATAGGCACTGTCAAGAACAATTTTGTTTGGAATCCTCAGCCCTAGACTATGGGTCTTGTCGCGGAGAACCTAACGGGTAACCGGGGCTCCGGCTCGACGTGCAAGAGAAGGAACGGGGTGGTTTTTAGTCAGTAAGAGTCTGACCCTCCCGCCTCACCCAGGCGGGAGCAGTCATTCGATGATATCCCCCCTTAAAAAAAAAGACTATGGTTCTTCTCTAAATATTAGTTTAGCCATATTTTCTATGCTTGGTATGTGAATTGGAAATATCAGATGATTTACTTCTTCGAGGGTGTAACTCTGTAAGGCTTGCAATTGGCGCGGCGTCACCAGTATCAATGCGATGAATCGCAAATAGACTCGGTCCTCCCTCTGGTGTGAAAATTTCTTTATGGATATCCAAGCGGTCGGACAGTCGCCCTCGTTCATCCGAATCAAGATGGGAACCCTCATCCTCGCGAAGACCCACAGAAGACCAGACGACGGTTTAAAAAATTCAAAATCCGATAACGCTGCTTTTCTATCTCTCTTTAATGTGTAGTCTATTATACACACTTACAGGACGCGCTCACAGTAATATTAAAAACGTATTATATTAATGTACACACTTATCAAATGTACACAAATGCCCAAGAACTATTAACTTCAACCGCAATATACAATTAGAATAGAATGGTTAAATGTCAACGTGTTGTATTATTGTTCACCATGTTATGTTTATGATTTGGCCTCACCTATCGATTATATACTGCACATTGTCTACTGTGACCTGTCACACGTAGGTATCCCTTATATTATTATAATAAAACACTTATATGACATGATTGTTAGTTGTGGTTAAAGAGTGGGCCATTCACTTCTTGTTGTACAGGTTTCTTTGGTCCTAACTTATTTACTTCTTAACTATTCGTATGTTCTGTAAGCTGGATTAGGTTATCGAGACTTTTTTATATACATACTACCTTAGAGACCCGCCCCGGCTTCGCACGGGTGCAACATGCATTTTTACACATATAAACCTTCTTTAAGTATCATTCTATCTATTAAAAAAACCGCATCAAAATCCGTTGCGTAGTTTTAAAGATCTAAGCATAGGTACATAGGGACAGACAGACGGCGGATAGCGACTTTGTTTTATACTATGTAGTGATATTTAATGGGCTGACGTTTGACCACTATCTCGCCTGGTGGTAAGCGATGATGCGGTCTACGGAGCACGTTGTCCCATAAGCAACATATTCACTCGGGCCTTGAAGACACCCAGGTATACCTTCAGGAAATACAGACTAAGTAGAACCTTACCTTAAAATATTAAAATCACAATGATGGCAATAAAGATTGTGGTCAAAACCATGAGGATTGCACCCAAAAGTCATAGGAATATTTTTCTCCTTCTCCTACAGTATTACAAAACCGATACGACCTTTAAACCGTTTAGAAGAGGGTCTACTTCTCTTTCAAGAGCTGTCAACGCATTGGGAACCTTATTGCGGGTGTCCATGGACAGTGTGGACTGCTTACCATCGGGTGGTCCGTGGATACGTTTGCTTCACTACATAGTATAAAACAAAGCCGCTATCCGCCTTCTGTCTGTCCCTATGTATGCTTAGATCTTTAAAACTACGCAACGGATTTTGATGCGGTTTTTGTTAATAAATAGAGTGATTCTTAAGGAAAGCTTGCATATACATATAATACATGCATATTGCACCCGTGCGAAGCCAGGATGAGTCGCTTGTCTTTATATATATATACCTAATTCTTGTGAGTGTGTATGTCACTGAACTTCTCTCAAACGACTGGACCGATTTTGATGAATTTTTTTGTGTGTGTTCAAGGGGATCTGGGAATGGTTTAGATTCACAAATCAGCCCGGCAGATGGCGCTGCAGTCGATGTTTAAGTTATTTATCCTAAACAGCTGAACTAATTTGAATGAATTTTTGGTTATACATTCAAGTGGATATGGAGGACAACGTCTGTTGGGTCCGCTAGTTACTATATATAACGCAGTTACAACTACAAAAAAGAAGGAAACATTTACAAAACTAGCTAATATCGTTGTAATTCCAGTTGAGATGTATCTAAGATCATGTTGTTATGCATAACATCGCGGGTTAGGGTCAAGAACGCTGCTATCTATCATTGATATAAATATTCCAATCGCTATAGGGTTTCATAGATACTTACTTTGCTTATAAAATCGTCATTAAATAGGTTACGATAAGTGCTAGGATTATTCCATCAATATAGGTCATGTGACAGTGGTTTTGAAATACTTGCTATTCTTTAAGAAACTATGCGTCCGTAGCTTAGGTACTTGGAATATATCATCTTGCAAACAGTATATTGTTCTTAATATTGTAATAGTAGGGCTGATGCCGATTCGGAGCGGCGGAGAACTTAACGGGTTACCGGGGCTCAAGCTTGAAGTGCAGGAGTAGGAACGGGGTGGTTTTTAGTCAGTAAGAGTCTGACACTCCCTCCTTCCTCACAAAGGCGGGAGAAGTAATACCTCTACAATGTCATTCCCCCCTTAAAAAAAAAATTAATAGTGACGACAACAAATTTGAGCAAGCTTGGTGATCAATGATCGTACGTTCTACGGGTGAGACTAGGTCTTTGCTGAGCAGTGGACAAGCATTAGCCTACTAGTTTCGAACCACAGAGGGGTTCTTCCTCAAGCGTGCGCAGTCGCGGCGATGTCGCGCAGCCTACTAAGGAAGAACCCCTCTGTGGTTCGAAACTAGTAGAGCTTTTCTCAGTATATTCACGTGAGTAACGCGTGATTTTTAGTTAATTTAGTATGTCTCACGATAGTTATTGTCAAAATAAAGCATTAGCCTGTAAACAGCCACCAATAAATCGTTCCACTAATAAATAAAGACAGCCGGTGTCATTTTGGTTGTCTCACTCACTAGCCGTGATGAGTTTTCCAGACGTTCGTTTAATGACCTAGTAAAAAGTGTGGACTTGATTAGCGTAGTTCATCTCAATATTTATAAATCTTACTATCCGATTAATCTTATAAATTCGAAAGTTCGTGAGGATTGAAATATTACATATAATGTTTACTTACGTGTTAATTTTTCACGCAAAAACTTCTCCATGAATCTGAATGAAAATTTGCACAGAGGTAGTCTTTTAACCTGGAAATACAGTGCTGTGCATTGGCAGAAATAAGTAGGTATTATAAATACAAAAGTTTATACCAATGTTAATTACTTAATCATATCAGTCAGAACGGCTGGCGGCTCATATTTTAGTCCTGAATAAAGCTAGCCTTATTGGAGTACCGCCAGTGAAACCGCTGACTGCTACTATGTAGTAATACTGACATCTCAGTACAAATGCTACGATTTTACTAAGACAATTTAACATTAAATACAAGAATAGATGTAATAAGTGTGATAAAACATTATTATTATTATATAATAATGGTCTCCGGGAGAATTTTACGACGTTCGAAGCGGACGCCCGCGTCGGTCGTGTGAACTGACGCAGTTATGAGTTTGGGAAGTCATTGTTATACTAAACTTATTATAATACGTATTTATTAATTAATATGTTGTTGCTAAGAGCGGATAAGAAAACTAATTTGTGTGTGTGTTCAAAATGCAAGGTTGTTCGTAGAAAACGTAGATACGTAGAAACTTTCAAGACCAAATACATGGAAAGTACTTAAGAGATTTGAATGAAAATTGGTATTCATACGCAAAATATGAAGGTCTAAATAGTTAGTAAAAAAATTCCAAAATATTCTTAGAGAATTGTATATAAAGAATTTTTTTAAAGGAGACACTCTTTTTATCGAATTTTGTTCGTCAATTGTTTTTCTTTTTTCGTTTGTTATTGTGTGAACTTTTAAATTCGTTACGGCGCGTCAACACTAGCGAATGCGTCCCCCGCGAGGATTTCACGAAATGCGAGCATTTGCCAGAGTGTAGACGCACCATTAATAAAAACTATGTAGTATAAATAATAGGTCTGTAATCAGTGTATGATTCCGAGTACAATACACATTGTTTTAATTTTGTATACATATGTAGACCGTGGTTATTAAGTATGTTCTACTTTATAGCACAGATAACAATTGATTGATTATTTGGAGCTTATATTTACGTATTGTAGAACTCAATGTACTTTTGACTCGTTGACCGAATGCTCGTAAGTCCGACTGCCGAGCTAGACGCCTTGGGATGGATTCCCGAAAGTTTTCAATAACAAGATAGTACGGAGTTCGGAATTGGTATGAAAATTAAGAATCTAATTAGTCCGTAAGTTAGGTAATGAAAAAATATTAGACACGTATTTTTTTATTTTGTCGTATAACAAAACAATGCTTTGATAAAACGAATCAAAGTTTAGGAGTGGGGGCTCAAACGTCATTTCTATGTATAAAATGTACATAGAAGTGACGTCACGCGACATTTCAAATCAATATACCGTCGAAAGTATTTGTTTCTGTAAGAAAATAAAAAATACGGGTCTAATGATTTAAAATAATCTTCCAGACGTACATTAAAATAAAAATTAGGCATCTACCCTATTGTGTCCGGTGCGTGTGGTAAATAACTAACAGGAACTCATTAAATTAGGTATCTCTCAAGGATTTAAAAGCGTCACCTAATGCTATGTGTATTAAACAGAAAATGGTCCTTTGGATCAATCTCCGGAGGAACACTTTCCTTTCACTTTTCATAGTTATATTGTTCTGAACCTTTTATGGCTTAATTAACCCGTTCTATTTGTTGCAGCTCAAAAGACGATGAAATTGATGGTAACTGCATAGTCCGCGCCCGTGGTCTGCCTTGGCAGTCTTCAGATCAAGACATCGCCAAGTTCTTCAGAGGTCTCAATGTTGCAAAGTAAGTTTTACACATAATTATAGACCGTGACAGTCTATCGCTGGGACTACAGACAGAGGCCTCAAAGAATTGCAGATTAATAGATAGATGTGTGTCATCCACAAATTGTTGTTTTGGGTCTGGGTGTCAAGTGTATGTAAACTTGTATGTTTGTAAATGCACCGCGACACAGGAGAAAATCCTAATGCGGGGCAACGTCCTGATAGTAAGCAATCGGCGCCGCCCGTGAACCCTGGAACACCAGAGGCGTTACAAGTGCTTTACCGGTATTTTACGAATTGGGAACTTGAGTATTGTGGGGGATTAGGGAGACTGCGAGAGGGGGGGGGGGGTGTAATGAGGTCTCTTGTAAACTACACCCACACGACGAAACGGTAATCAGTAAAAGTCTGACACTCGGTCTTGCCGAGAGAAGACATTCGACGATTTTCCACCTCAAAGAAAATTCCATATAAGATAACTCCCTTCTATGGAAATAATTAATGGTTTAATGGTACCTACATATCCTAATGCATGTTTTAATTCTCCAGGGGTGGAGTAGCTCTGTGTCTCTCGCCTCAAGGGAGACGTAACGGCGAAGCGCTGGTGCGGTTCGTGTCTCAAGAACACAGGGACATGGCGCTCAAACGACATAAGCACCATATCGGCTCGCGGTACATTGAGGTAAGGACTTTATTTTGTAGTTGATAGGGTTGAAATTAAGTACCTATATTGCATCATGAGCTGCTATACTTTTGACAAAGTTAAGTGGATTTCAAACTTTTTGCTAAAGATTAGTATGGAGGTTGTAGACTGATTTATTGTGCATAAGCATGTTATTATCTGAATGTCTTACAAATAGACGTACAATCTTAAAAGAGAAGAAAATGAGACACATTTGTAATACTCTTAATTTTAGCAATATGTTTTTTAGTCTGGTTGCGAAAAATGTCATTTATTCCCAAACAAATGACTGATAATTAGACTAACCAATCTGGGGATCAGACCCAGAACTTTATACTGGCGTAGCGATCGTAACTATGCGGCAGCGACAGAAAATGATAGAGTTATCAAGTTTGACCTAACAACCTTGATCATTTTGACACAATTTTAATAAAGATTTAAACAAAAAATTGACTATCAAAAGAGAGAATTGGCCGATCTGACCAATTAGCCTTAAAATGAATGCCTATTAATTACGATTAAACCCCTCTTATGTAGAGGAGGCGCGGGTAACAGTGAAATATTACGGATTGTAGATATGAAGGCGGAGTAATCTGACAGAAAGTGTCGAATTCATCTGTGGTTTTTATACTATTAAATATTTTTTAATCTGTTGTAGTCCCTAAGAGAACTGCGAAAAGAGACAATCTAAAGTATAAAACTGCTTCTAAGGCCTGATTTTTCCAACGCAAGATAGGTACTTAAATTTTATCAAAAAAATAACTTTGAAAGTTTGACGATTTTTCCATATGGACCGATTTTTCAATCGTCATTTAATTCTTAACTGTGGAATAAAATTGACATCTGACAGTTTTTAATATTTAAGAATTGGGATGATAACAGGGTATGAAAATTAAAAATCAAATTAGTCCGTAAGTTAGGCAATGAAAAAATATTAGACACGTATTTTCTATTTTGTCGTATAATATACTAATAATACTTAGATAAAACGAATCAAAGTTTAGGGGTGGGGGCTAAAACGTCATTTCTACGTATAAAATGTACATAGAAGTGACGTCACGCGACAGTTCAAATCAATATATCGTCAAAAGTATTCGTTTCTGTAACAGAATAAAAAATACGTGTCTAATGATTCAAAATAATCTACCAGACGGACATTAAAATAAAAATTAGGCATCAACCCTATTATCGTCAAATAGTTATTCCTCAGTTAAAAATTATCTGTCGTTGGAACAATCAATAAATTTTATGATTGATCCTGTTAGACTAGGCTATCCTGCTGGGTATCTGCATAGCTCCTATGACCTTCACCATAGTCAGATAATAAGTCACAACTCTATTTCCATTTATCCAGGTGTACCGTGCAAGTGGCGAGGATTTCCTGTCAGTGGCAGGGGGCGCCACTTGTGAGGCGGCTGCCTTCTTATCCCGGGGAGCGCAGGTCATCGTGCGGATGAGAGGACTGCCCTATGATGCTACACCTCAGCAAGTTGTAAGTTTTCGATACATATTTTCTTTTTGCTTCTGGCCTTTTTTATGGGATAAGCCGGTAAACGAGTAGAGGGAACACTTGATGGTAAGCAATCGGGGTCGCCCGTGGACGCACCTGAAACACCAATGGCGTTAAATGTGCGTTACCGATCTTTTGGAATTGGGAATTTGAGTATTGTCGGGGATTCGGGGATTGGGGTGAATGGGGTGATGGTATAATAAAATAAATAAAACTCAATTGTAATGGTGTTGTACCTACTTATGTCACGTTCTTTAGTGACCCGGTAAGATACATAGAAGCCTCCATATTAATTAAATAAATGTAACAATTACTTTTCAATTATTTAGATAGGAGTATTTAAAGGATCTCATCTTTTAAAGATCTCTAGATCTCTACGAATCAACAGACAACAGAGGCCTTAGTTCGTACTAAGGCCTCTGTTGTTTGATTTATGTTTAAAACTCTAATTGGGTGGTTTATTTGAGCCGGCCAATCGGAGCATCGAACGCGGTCTCGTTTCGGATAAAAACGGATAAAAGGACTAATATGGTCCTTTGCGATTTGATTAACCACTCTGTCTGCTTATCTATATTTATAATAATTATATTAAAAAGCCAAACTACATGATATTGTACAAAAGGCTGTTATTTCCTAAAAGTGCTTACAAATGCTTACAAATAAAATAACATGCTATTATTCTTTGCACGAACATTTCGCAAACGTAAGTTCTAAACAAATGACGTTGCAAAGCTGTCGACCAATCAGAAGGCGTCTGAATGATAACAGATACTTAATATAATGTTGACAACTTTTACACCACGTCCTAACCTCTTAGGTTAGTTTGTCTTGATTAGGAATAGGAGCTGAGCTCACAACTACTTATTTAATGTGCTATAAATACAACTTTTGTATTTAGTTACGCCCTGCGATTTTACTCGAAGTAGGTACCACACACATAACATAACATTATTTTAAGTGTGGGAGAGCCATGCTTCGGTACGAATGGACCGGCTCGACCGGAGGAATACCACGGCCTAACAGAAAACCGACGTGACACAACGCTTGCATTGTGTATCGTTGTGTGAGTGAGGTTATCGGAGGCCCAATTACTCCCCCCTCTTCCCCAATCCTTGAATCCCAACAATCCTCATATTCCTAATCCCAAAAGACCGGTAACGCACTTGTAACGCCTCTGGAGTTCCGCTCGCTGATCCGACGCTCATTGCTTGCCATCAGGTATTCAGGTCTGGTCGTTTACCGGCTTATCCCATAAAAAAATCCCTGCCTTTTATCCCCGAAGGGATATATAAGGGTGGACAATGAGTTCGATAGCAACAGAGAGCATAGAAGAATAAATGAATTTTATCATAAGAATAAACAACGATGTGTCCGTATTGCAATTGTTTCTAACTCCATAAGTCTCATAATATAATTAGTGAAAAATGAATGTTAATTGCTCAGCGTAATGCTAAAATGGCGGCCCTTGATCGCAAACCAATTTTGTTTATATTATTGACCTTTTTAACAAATTGTTTTAACTGTACAGTCGACCTGTACAGATTAATCGTAGGTCCATACAGCTTATACACCTTACGGTTTACCAGTACAGTTTAACGGCACTGTTACCTAAAACGGACTTAGGTATTATTTGTTGTTTGTCTTTTGTTTTTTGTCTATGTTAGCTGGAATGCATACATTATTCTGTAATTCCTTTCTTTGCTCCTTCCCTTTCTGAGAAAATGCTTTAAATTCACTGTAATCACATTGAAATAAAGTTAAAATTACCTTAACACCTACTTATCTATTTGCAGCTGGACTTTTTCTCAACGGGTGAGAATCCAGTAATGGTGCTGGATGGAGCTGAAGGTGTATTGTTCGTACGTCGAGCTGATGGCAGGGCTACTGGGGATGCCTTCGTTCTCTTTGCCAAGGAAGATGACGCGCCCAAGGCGTTGTCTCGACATCGCAAGTCTATAGGAGCTCGATACATCGAACTGTTTCGATCTACTACGGCTGAAGTTCAACAGGTAAGCCTTATAAAGAAACTGTCTTTTGCCCGTGGTTTTGTTCACGTGCTATTATGAGCTGAAGCTGAAGTCTCAACTATGTACACTTGATCCCAAAGAAACAGAGTCATAACTTAGGGGTCATCCATAAGTTACGTCACACGAATTTCATGATTTTTTTGCCCCTCCTCCTGTCCTTGTCACAGCTAGTGACATTTATGAGAACCCCCTCTCCCTAGTGTGACGTCACATTATGCAGAATTACAGTATAGAAGCTATTGTTATTTTTATTTCCACTTAAATTACTTTAAAAAAAATATTAATGTCAAATCAAACAATTAACAAAATATTTCGTATTTTAACGCGGATTATAATAGTTTTTGAAATGTGACATCATACATTTTTGGACCCCTCCCTCCCCCTTGTCACACAATGCCACACTTAGTTGACCCCCTCCCTACCCTAAAGCTGTGACATAATAAGGATGGCCCCTTTTAGCGTTGTTTCTTTCTCATTTCTCGATAAATATTTTGTGATACAATTATTTTATTAATTGGTAACGTATGCCGTATAAAAGGGAATTTAATTACCTTTACAATGAGAGCGTTTTTTTGTAAAAGGAATATTTTCTTTTTGAGTTACAGAGGGTTCGATAAATAGAAAAAAAACGCTAGCTGTTCCTCTTTTTTGCTCACAAATATGTATAAAGTTTTAAAAAGATTGGTTGAATCTACGAAGCATAATGATAAAACAAACTAACCTACATCTCGATTGTGTAATTAGTTGGGATACCATAATTAATATTAATTAATTGACTTTTGCTTTAACATTTCTCTGGCTTTGTACAAGAACTAAGCAGCTATGTCATTCTAATTACTGATTACAGTATAATTAATATCTACATAATATTTTTCCATTTCCCATTAAGATATGGCTAACTAATAACTTTATCGATTAGGCTTAGGAATTGACACGTCATTAACTGTAAAATTAAATCAATTAGTTGCTGCATTCGATGGAAAAATCTCGCTATAATAGGAACAAAGAAACAGCTATATTAAACAGCATGGCCGATATAACCATGGATATAACTTTAGCGTTAGCCGATCTTGATCTGGACCTATACTTTTTGACAGAAGCCTTCATGTTTCTATCAAAAATTTTGATCATTTTGAACTAACTAATGTCAAAAACTGATTACTTCGAATTCATTTATTTTGGATCAAAATAATTTATAATAATTGATGTTTTATTGGATTGACATTGAAATTTTAATTATCTAGTAAATAATTTGAATAAATATATACAATTTAAAATATAAATAACGAAAAACTAAAATAATTACATCTTAAAAAGTAATAATAATAAAAATGCTATCATCTTTAGGCATCAAAAATTGGTTATTACTTGTTGTTATTAGATATAGATAATTTCAATCGTTCTAGTATTAAATTTTAATGTCTTCATACAAAAAGAATGTCAGTTTACTTACACAAGAAAGGACATAAACCAAACACGCTAGGAAGTTCCTTTTCAATCTACTATCTATACTTCGCTACTGATAACCTTTTGACTCGCATACATTGAAGCACAAAGACCAATAGAACGATCTGTAATAGTTTATATAGTAACCTCAAATGTACAATGGTTTACTATTTAGAAATTATGTCAATGGAATAAAGCTTTAATAAGACCTAGAAATCCTTACTAATATTATAAATTGGAAAGTGAGTTTGTTTGTTTGTTCCGCTTTCACGCCGTAACTACTAAACCGATTGCTTTGAATTTTTGCAGACGTAAAGTTAGAAGTCCTGATTAAATAATAGGGTACTTTTTATCCCGGAAAATTGATATTCCCGAGGGGAACAAAAGTATTAGTATAGATGGCGCTGTATGTATTTGGTATATGTCACATAGGCCACTTCTTATCTTTTTGTGACGCGAGCGAAGCCGCGGGTAAAAGCTAGTAAGTAATATAAGAACTCATATTCATGAGCAGCGTTCCGCGACCCATCACTAGGTACATAGTATAAAACAAAGTCGCTATCCGCCGTCTTTCTGTCCCTGTGTATGCTTAGATCTTTAAAACTACGCAACGGATTTCTGGTCGGGCGGCGAGCTCCATGGTCCTCGGTCTATCTCAATGGAGAACGTCTACGCGATCTCTAGCCTTTTGTGTCCCTCTATAATCAGCTTCAGCAGGTTCTTCTGCAGAAATTGAAATAAAATTCCTTTCATTATAATTGTTACGCAAGTACTAATTAATCAGATTGCAACAATGCTATGCAGGTAGGTAGCTGCCGCCTAATGCGTACGCCGCTAATATAGTATTTAAGATAACATTGTACTTAATAATGGTTACAAGTCAATGCTTAGCTAAACTTCATTATTTTTTTTAAACGGTTTATTTAGCTTCCCCCCGTTTTTCTTTTATGGGATAAGCCGGTAAACGGACAGACGGATCACCTGATGGTAAGCAATCGGCGTCGCCCATGGACACCCAAAAAACCAGAGGCGTTACAAGTGCGTTACCGGCCTTTTGGGAATTAGGAATTTGAGGATTGTAGGGGATTCGGGGAGATTGGAGAAGGGGGTAATTGGGCCTCCGGTAACCTCACTCACACGACGAAACACAACGCAAGCGTTGTTTCACGTCTGTTTTCTGCTCGGCCGTGGTATGTAAAACAAAGTCGCTATCCGCCGTCTATCTGTCCCTATGTATGCTTAGATCTTTAGAACTATGCAATGGATTTTGATGCGGGTTTTTTTAAAAGATAGAGTGATTCTTAAAGACGCTTTAGTTATATGTGTAATACATGCATATTGCACCCATGCAAAGCCGGAGCGGGTCGCTAGTAATAAATATAATACCTATTTTACGCCTGTCATGTTATTAGTCCCATCTAAAATAGAGCAAGCATATTATCATATACCAAACCCAACTCCAACCTCTATACTTATTACTGAGTCGCGGAGAACCTAACGGGTTACCGGGGCTCCGGCTCGACGTGCAGGAGAAAAAAAACGGGATGGTTTTTAGTCAGTAAGAGTCTGACACTCCCTCCCGCCTCACCCAGGCGGGAGCAGTCATTCGATGATTTTCCCCCCTTAAAAAAAAACTTATTACTGAAAATATTAAAAGCCAAATAACATTTTGCCCGACCCGAGAAACGAGGTTTTTCTAACTCGACAGTTGCGCTCGCAACTCGACCAACAACAGTCTGTTACCTAACTTTATCTAGAATTTACGCTACGTGCTGTTTACGATAACATTGACGTTGAACTAAGTACTTAGTACCTGTGTACTTAGTACTTACTTAGGTTGCCTATGACCTGAATAAGAGAGTTCAGATTCAACTACGGTTTATATAACACTACCCTTGTGAATCTAACGATATATCGTTATACTGACAGATTTTCGACTTTATATTAAAAATAAAATAAAGTTTAAAATCGAATAGTTTAAAATTTAAGTTCAGATTCAACTACTGCTTCTATGACACTGTGACACTGTTCATGTGAATCAAACGATATATCGTTGTTCTACTGACAGATTTTCCACTTTATATTAAAAATAAAATAAAGTTTAAAATTGAAAAGTTTAAAATTTATGTTCAGATTCAAGTACGGCTTCTGTGACACTGTGACACTGTTTTTGTGAATCTAAAGATATATCCTTATTCTACTGACAGATTTTCGACTTTATCTCAAATATACCTATATTAAAGTTTAAAATCGATTAAAGTGGTTAATTTAAGATTAAAAGTACTTATTTTGTTGAAGCCGTAGGTACTACATACTGCATAGTTCCACATTGGGTCTGATATGGGGTTTAAGTTTGAAAAAGTTAAAAATACGAGATACCAATCCTTATTTCGTTTCGGACTCTACCAAGATCGTTTCTATTCGGACCCAGAGGGCTTAGTACGAGGTTTGTATTACGTATAGTGAGATCAAAACGTAACCGCGATCGGCACTCTGATTGGCCGGCTTCAATGAACCAACCAATCAGATGGCTAAACGCTATTATATAGCTAAGTCGCGGAGAACCTAACGGGTTACCGGGGCTCCGGCTCAAAGTGCAGGAGTAGGAACGGGTATTTTTTAGTCAGTAAGAGCCTGACACGTCCGCCTCACTCAGGCGGGAGAAGTCATTCGATGATTTTCCCCCCTTAAAAAAATATATAGCTAAGTGATTTTATGAGATGGCTAAACATGGTCACGTTTCGTAAAAATCGTACTAGGCCCACTGAACACGATCATAAAGAACAATACCTCAGCCCTTGGTTTATCTGTGGCCATAATACTGCAATCATAGACTATAGAGTTAACCATAAACAATCACATGAAAATGGCGGTTTATGATAAACAATGTAATTTCAAAACATTACAGTTGATACTGTGGTACTAAGTAGATAGTCAAGGTTTTTGTGACAATTTTGTTTCAATACGGTTCAAGGTTCAATTTCTGAGATGGGTAAAGCATTTGGACCTGTCGACTGTAAAGATTACATAATACTAATAGACAATCTTTGTGAGCAAAATAAAACAAAAATGATATTAATGAAAATTACCTATGTATTTTCAACATCCATGGCGTAGAATTGGGTACCTACTAGTCAAATTCAATACTTTTTTCGAACTGTCAAAAACGACAGTTTTCTATGAATTTTGTACGAGATTGTGTATTGTGACGTCACGTTTTTTAGCGTCAAACAGCGTACTTATTTCTTAAAAATATGGTGGAAAATTACTAACATTAAGACTACACATTAATTTTTGATTAAGGCAGACACCCAATTGGATAGTCACAAAAAGTGTTAGAAATATGACAGATATACCTAAAAACATTTTTGAATTGGACATGCTAAACCCACGACAATCTGTGTTACTGCACTAAAAACAAAACAGAGATATAATCGGGGAACGGGGTGGTTTTAGTCAGTAAGAGTCTGACACTCCCTCCCGCGTCACCCAGGCGGGAGCAGTCATTCGATGATTTTCCCCGCTTAAAAATCAATTAAAAAACCCGCATCAAAATCCGTTGCGTAGTTTTAAAGATCGAAGCATACATAGAGACAGACAGACGGCGGATAGCGACTTTATTTTATATTATGTAGTGATAATAAGTATATAATTATGTATTATTAAATAAAAGGTGCCTACATAAAATATGTTATAATATTGTAACAAATATTTCACACAATATTTCATGAAACATTTTTGTCTTAGCCTGCCTTTGGTATATACGGTAAGTACATAACTTTAAGTGCTCGTTAGTCCGATGCGCTTACGATGATTCGTTCCGCATTGCACAAGGCCTTTTGACGACACGTGTATCAACGTAGATTTTTGCACAAATATCGTAATACACTTAACATCGCGCCTTTTATCCCCAAAGAGGTAGGCAGAGGTGCACATTATTACAGCACTTAATTCCACTGTAGAATATAATACCCACTTTTCACTATTTATGTTATGAGTCCCATGGAGTCCCATGTAATAGGGGGTGAGCCTATTGTCATATACCGGGCACAATTCCAGACTCCATGCTATTACTGAGTTTTCTTAAAAAACCCAGTAATACTTTGCCCAACCCGGGAATCGACCCGAGACCCCTTGCCTTGATAGATAATTTTAGTAATTGTAATTGATAGATATACAATAAATTAAACTTATCTACCTTTTTCGAGGTAAATCTTTGAATTACTGACTATTTTAAGTGGTTTTTTATGTCGTTAAGATCCTTTAACCTTTATTTATAATCATAAGGAGTAGGAATCTAAGCTATAATTAATAGAAAAATTAGCTGTCTACCTCAATTTCACCTACAGGAAAAAGAAAAGTAATTATAAATAATATCAACACAGCGACAGTACGCCTAAAAATATAGCAACGCCATCTATGATTGGCAAAAATATCAATCAAAACTATCTTAAAAATACGAATTAGTCTTTTATCTTTATATTATTACATTGTTATGTTTAGAAATTAATTTCCTAACACTGATATCTCTAATACTTTTATATTATCTAATTAAAACGATAAAATACAATTTAAAAAGTTGCTTACTCATGCTTGGTAGGTACTTATATAATTATTATTTGTATGTAATCGAAAACAGATATGATATGTCTGTGTCATTTTGCACTGAAAAACGATTCAACGATTTTTTTAATATTGTCAGCAAAATTATATTATTTTTAACGCTGAATAATGTTATAGGTTCTTATGTAGTAAGTAATTCACTTACATTGGACATTGGACTTAGCTTTTAACACGTGATTAGAGTAATATACAAAAGGAATTTAAAAAACTACGTAATAGCACTTTCACACTAACAAGGAATACGCGCCGTGTATTCATTTACAATTGCAGTGGCGAATGACGTTGCGACAACGCGACGCCTGCGCGGCGCATACGTATATCAAATGCCTATGTTAGACAAACGCTAGTGTAAAAATGGTTTAAATTTCAAATATTAAAACACTATATTTAAACCTGTTATACACAGTATAAATGTAATATACTCTGTGGTATTATCTACATCTAGTCCTTAAACATTCGAGTTATGTTTATTTTGTTATTCTCTTTTTTTATTTTGTACTGTGTCTACTTTTAGTGTCTTAGTTCTTACATTTTTTTATATACCACGACGACGGTGGCAAAATAGCACACGGCCCATCTGATGGTAAGCAGTTACCGTGACCTATGTACGCTTGCAACACTTGGAGCATTACATGCGTCTTGCCGACCCTTGAAAAACCTATTCACTCCCTTTTTGAAGAACCCCATGTTAGTAGTAGCCTACTGGGCCCCCATGTAGTTGTAGCCTACTGGAAAAACCACGGCAGGGAGGGGAGCTCATTCTACAATCGGAGAGTCTGTGGGAGGAAATTCCTTTAAAACCGAACTGTACGCCACCATTTTGGCTCCTATGTGTGAGCGTGAACACCCTGTTGATTTAGATATTTCTTTTGCTGCCGACAGACTGAAAGAAGAGATTCCTGGAATAAGCAGTACCTATGTACCTTAGAGCGTTTAGTACAAGTAGGTAATCGAAACGAGACCGCATTGCGCGCTCTGATTGGTTGTTTCATTGTAGCCGGCCAATCAGAGCGCCGAACGCGGTAACGTTTTGATCTCAGTTAAACGTAAAACAAACTCGTTTAAGCCCTCTGATCTGTATATGTGTTCTCCTGTGTATTGTCTGTATGTAGTGCCTACCTAATCATGCAAATAAAATAAAATAAATGTAACCATGGTCCTATTATCCGCAGGTTTTAAATAGGTCCCTAGAGACCCGTACGAGCCAGTCCAGCACGCCTTCCACGGCACCTACTCCAGCTGAAGGTCTCCTGCCCGTAGCCCTAGTGCCCCAGCATGTCATCACATCTGGAACTGCAAAGGACTGCGTCCGGCTAAGGGGCTTGCCTTATGAGGCACAAGTAAGTAGTGTAGTGAAATATTCTTTTTTATGGGATAAGCCGGTAAACGAGCAGACGGATCACCTGTAAGCAATCGGCTTCGCCCATGGACACCCACAACACTAGAGGTGTTACAAATGCGTTACCGGTCTTTTGGGGATTATAAGTTTGTAGATTGTTGGAGAATCAGGGATTGGGAAGATTCGATCGGGAGGGGGGAATTCGGCCTCCGGTGACCTCACTCACACGACGAAACACAACGCAAGCGTTGTTTCAAGTCGGTTTTCTGTGAGGCCGTGGTATCACTCCAGTCGAACTTTTTAAAACAAACCTTAGATTCGCTGTTTAAAACGGTTCTTTAATGCTACGGGGAGTAAAATACTCGCGTAGGTACCTACTTACCGACATCAACACCCCAATTAATTTTCACCATTATGTGTGTTATAATTCTCGTGTAATAGAAGTGGACTTGCCATATACCGGGCTAAATCTAGATCACAAGGTCTACTAACATTTATGACTGAAAAAAAACCAAAACTAAAAATCTAAAGCTCTGGTCTTGAACTGAGACTTTTGGTGCTAAAAGGTTCAATAGGGGGATATTGAGGGTTGCTAATCTAAACAAGGGTCGCTGATAAACTCATTTATTATTCTACTTTATATTTCCAGGTGGAACACATACTGACCTTCTTGGATGAGTTCGCCAAGAACATAGTGGTGCAAGGCGTACACATGGTATACAATGCTCAGGTTAGTCATTCTGTTTGTTTGTTGCACTTGACCTTGTTATATATTAATATCTGATTATGGAGAATTGAAGAGCTTGAAGAGAAATAGTATCGTTTTGATCGATATTATCTAACTGTATATTCTGTCGGTTTAACTTACCTACACTTGTAAAAGCAAATATGTGGTACCTAACTTAGGACAAAAACGATTGGACTAATGTCAATGTAATTTGTAAATTCCAACTTAACGATAACTTAATTCTTTCGTAAAATATTTTACCAGACAACGCTGTTTATGAGACTTTAATGATGGGTCTAACGGTCCAACTTTACTAAAACATGGTACTTATATTCTACGACAGGGTCACCCCAGCGGCGAAGCATTTATCCAAATGGACAGTGAAGCGAGCGCCTTCCTCTGCGCGCAACAGAAACACCATCGATACATGACCTTCGGCAAGAAGCAGCGGTACATTGAGGTATATAGTATTCTATTCATTTAAATACTCAAATAAACAGAAAATCTGTCTTTTTATGCTGGTTGTTGATGACACTTGCGAATCGTTCGCTTGTAATGTTTTATGATTAACACTTGAAATGCAAATTATGCAACGTTGCCAGTACAATATTAAAATTTGTGTTCAGTGCTTATCCTTGAGGATTTTAAAGCCCCTCTTAAAGCTGAACGTGCGAATTGTTATGGAGACTTTTATGTGACAGCAAACTGTGGTACAGGTGTTCCAGTGTTCCGGCGACGACATGAACCTGGTGCTGACGGGCGGCGTGACGCCGGCGACGTCCCCGAAGGTGTTGTCCCCCGGTACGTTGGTGTCCCCCCCGCCGCCCGCGCCCGCGCCCCGCCTGCTGGCGCAGCAGATCGCGCACCAGAGCCTCCTCGCGCGCCAGCACGAGAACCTCCTCCTCGCCTCCCTCCGCCCCCCCATCGTCCCCATCCTGCCCACGTACGCGGCCGTCCGCTCGCAGACCCCGGCCGCACAGGCCTACCAGCTGCCCCAAATGTCGCAGATGCTACAACAGCAGACGATGCTGCCAACCAAACGGTCTTATGAGCGCGCCTTCCAGCCCACAGAGGCGACGCCCGCAAAGAGGCCGTATGCCATGCCGCCTCATATGACTCCTGCTTTGTCTCTGCCAGTTTTCTCTTACGGCACGTCGGCTCCTATATTCTCTTACGCGAACACGAGTCCTATGTTGTCGACGTACAATACGTTGCCGACCGCTTTGCCGACTGCCTTGCCGGCTGGGTACGGGTCTGCGCTGTCCGCGGCTCTGCCAGGGACCATGACGACGCCCTTCCCTACGCTGTCCATGTTCCCCACGTACCCGTACTACCCGGGCGTTTAAATTGAGATAGAGAAGTAGATCGTCGTGCCTGTCAAATGCCGAATTAACTACGCGTTTTAAACGCAGCGTCTTGGTACAAAAGTACGCAAATAAAAATAAACTAAAATTAACGTCATTTCTAAACATTACCGGTTCGCGGTACCGTTGGTTAGTGGTACCGTTCCACATAAACATACAATGGCTTGCTACTTCCATAGTTAGGTTACGCAGAAAAATAGTTGATAACTCATGAACTAACACCATTAAACTCGCAATTCTTTATTACAAAACGTAGTTTAAAATCCTTTTACTATATTTTGTAAGAAGAGTGACAAAACTGAGTACAATAGTCAACTAACTTGCTAAAACAAGAGTACCTGAGGGGAAATAATAGTTAAAATAAAGAATAACTAACCAATAGTTTAAACGCCTTATTATAAGTCTAAAGTCGCAATAACTTGCGTTGCGTCAGAATCGCAGCTACGTGTGCGTTACGACAGCTAGACCATGTCACAAAAATGTCAATAAAAATAAATTCGGAAAATAATCTACCATAGTTTTGGACGGCTGTATAATTTAATACAATGTGTAATTTTTTGAGGATTTGGCATTAACTCGGCAAGAAACAGGGTAGATAAAATGACATTCGACAATACGCTCAGGAGTGTGAAGTGCCTTCGCTATTTTTACGATATTTTTAGGTTATAAACATGAATTTACTACAAAAATAAGTTTAAAATCTATAAAGGCAGTTATTAAGCAGCTCGATATTGATAGGTTTAGTACTTACTTAATATACTTGTTGAATTTATTACTTGACTTTAAATATTGTTGAACTCTCATTTTCATATTTTTAATTATGATTAAGTGAACCAGAGGTTGTTAATCAATGACAAGTTAGTTGTATGATTTATTTTACGTTTTAAGTCCGGGGCTGCCATTCAATATCTACTTACTTTTATTTTAGGAAGAAACTATTTAGAAACGAATCAATAATGAACATTTTAATAATTTTCTTAATTTTAATGTTGGACTAAAAAAAATATTAAAATTATTCGAAGTTCGAAAGGAGACGTTGTAAATTCAATATGGCAGCCCCAAACAGTGTGATTAGATGTCGTTGTGATTTTTAAATATTACACATTCCATTATAAAAAGACAATGTTTTGCCAATTTTTTGAAGGCTGATATTTAAAGTCTGAGAAAGTGTTGTACTTATTGTCGTATGAAGCTCATGTATTGCACAAAACACACTAAAATCAAGAGTAAAATTAATTATATTATATATTATTATTAATGTTTGTTTTTTAAGAATAAAGCTAAATTGTGGCAACCAAACACTCGACAGTAATGAAATATAACACAACAAAAGTTCGTTAAAATACTGAACATTATCCTGTCATGTAATTTATTAGATGCAAGCATAAGTTACCCCATTCGTTTTTTTTTTAACATCTTGACTATAATTATGAGACATTAAAAATATATTGTCACGCGTCGAGATTTATGATCCGGCACACCAAGAAGTAACATCTGTTGTAGAAGAAGTTTTAGTCAATTTGGGTGTAATTTGGCTTTAAATTCATTACATTCCAAGTATAAGTACCTAATATCAAATTGATACAGTTGCAGTATATTTGCTTCGCGACTTATATTTAAGTTCTATAAATGTTAAGTTACTTAAAGTTTTGTTTTTGTTTGTTTGAGTACAATGCGTGTGTACACTTTGTGCTTAGTTTACACGTTTTTTTTTTAATTATAGTGTTTTTGCTACCATAGTCATACTCTGAAACCATATGCAAAATGAATTGATTTTTTTCGTGTTTCCAATCGGCTTCAGTCCTACTTTTTGCGGAAATGATAATATATTATTATATTTTAGATGTATTTAATAAATGTACTAAATCGCGTATACATACTTTTTCTATATTAAATCTTAACTAATAGAGCTTTTCATTATTTTATTTTTTAGATGTACTTAGCTAAAAAACGCCCGTTCAAAAGAAGAATCGTTAAAAATCAATATAACACAAACTCTAATGTATTATAAATTATAATATAAGATCTATTTTGAAACAATAAAAAAAATCTTAATCGTTTCGACAAATTTTAAAAATAATTTTATATAAATTTAAGCTCGTTTTAAACATTTTAGGACGGCCGCGGAATCCTATGACTTTCCCATTCCTTCCCCTTATTATACAGTCCAAATTTTACAATATTATATCACAAAATAACCCATGGTTATATCACTTAGCTTAACCTCATCGTCTGTACCTCACACCACATAGTATAGTCTACATTAAAATTATAATTTACTGCTACTAATTTGGTTTATATTCCCGAAAATACACGTTACAATGACAAGAATGTATTTTCTTGAATAATAATCTTATTAATATGAAGTCTATAGTCATTTTGAAAAGTCGTGTGCGTCATTGTAACTGGACCATTTCGGGAATATAATTCAAATCGGGTGATTTGTATAACGGAACAGTTTATACTTGAAAGTTAACGTCATTTTATATGGTGTCGCCATTGTCTCAATAATCACAAATATATAGGTATGGGGCTTTAGTCACAATACACGGTGTAATGGCTAATCTTTGTTCTGTCATTTCTAAATATTATTTACTTGTCGTAATTTCTACAACATGGTTCAGAAACATTTAACTAATTTACCTACTCATTTACTCATTTTTAGAACGTCCATGTTGCTGGAATTACGATTTAGTCTATTTACAATGCAATACTGTGTTTATTAATGGTTATATAAAAACTGTTGTATTATGGTGTATCCGTCGGGTTGTGTTATGGAAAATGTGCATGAAACCCATCAGAAACGGTAAGTGTTGCACACGTTATGTAATATTTGTTATAAAACCAAAAACATGTCGTATATCGAATTAAAAAGTTAAGGGTGTAGCATGAACCGCTTATATTTAAGGAAAAGGGTTGCATGGCTCGTGTTGATAAAATATAATCCGATGTTTTAGCTTCCGTAGTTTTCCAAAGCACATCGCGGTCGGATACAAATCAGTTTCTTTTGCGAAACTATATGTTACTGTTTCATAAAATTATGTACACGGTTGTAACTTTATCTTGGTACTATGGGTCACTTGAATTAGCATTAAATGCATTTGTAAGTTACTAATACGGCGCTAAAGTGACGATATGAAGTTTTTCCTAGAGCTACATCTATGCATTGTGCTTCCATAACTTGTAGTAAACAAATCCTACATAGTATCATAAGTTAAAGTTCATGTTCAGTCTTGGTAAGGGTTCTGTCTCCTCCAGTCATTAACACGCAACTTTATATCACAGCTTCTTCTTCTCTTGCTATCTCAAAGATCTCCGCTTTACTTTATTTCGTAATGGAGTAAAATTATGAATTCGTTGTACTTAAGATGTATGTATTTTTATAATTTTTAGTGCATGACTTACTTATTCAAGTAATCACCAATAATTTTATTGTTTTACACACGAAGACATGTCTTTTACTGTTGCACTAAATTTTATTTAAATATATTTGTGTGTAGTGACTGGGGGACGTGGTGTGAGGATGTTGGATATATTCCGCTCGTTATAATGTAGACATACGTCACGGGTCACAATTTAAACTGCCAAAGCGTTTCGATTACAGTTATCATTCCATTTAAGTAATTCAAATCAAACTTTTTCGATGCGCTTAAAATTTGACAACTATGAAGCCGAAAATCATATTTCAAATGTAGTTTTATTGCATAGAACTAAGTTTTTTCCGTTTTACAGAGTTTTGTCTCATCTTGTTAGCATCATGATGGTTTTTTATTATAATTTTAGTTGGATAAATATAGTGTATTGCGATTAGAAATAAAAGGTTACTTTACATGTTAGATGATAATTGCGAGTTTCTCTGGTTTGTGGTTGTGCTATTGTCTCTTATATGTACTATTTCTAAGGTCGGGAATGGAATGGATCTGATTTTTTCTTCATAAATTCACCTTAAACTTTCTTCTAGCGATTTATGTTGCTTGAAAGGTTTTATTTTGGGTATATAGTGTGATTTAATTTTATCATTCTAATGTCTACATTTAATGTGAATAAAGCTACCCATGATAAAACATGTTCTATATAATTAGTATTGTAATGTGGAAAATCAGTTTCATAGTCCAAGTCTATCCAAGCTTCGTCGCGTAGATAGCAGAGGTACTTGTGAAGGAATGGTTGAACTAACACTCGATCGCTTGATCTGTCTCCGCTACAGTACAGTATCGTCCTATATGTTATACTAACACACTTCTGGGTGAGTGGGCAAATGAGTTATTGGTAAGTTTTTATTAAATTTATTATAGATAGAAAAAAACCGACTTTTGTAACGCATTTTATAATAATGGCATACAAATTATAAATAGGGGGTCCCGTCGTTGTGACGCACATTGTCATAAATATGGTGGCAATATTCTGTAACAATCATAATCATACTATATTCATGAACTAAAAAAAATGTATTTAAAGGCCATAATTATTCGCTGGTCATTGGCATAATGATTAAAAATATTGCATTAATAAGACAAAAAAACACGAAAAGACCGAACTATCCACGAAATCATGCAAGAGCGGACATCAGTTTTTTTATAGAGAAATCGTGCTCATTTTCTTAGGGCATTTGTTTATATAGATTTTATATTAAACTGAATACATGCAGTGTAACATAGATTATACTCAGATTGTATGTCAATCAAGTGCTTTATTTGAAAATAGAAATATAAAAATAGGCTGCACAATTTAACTTTGAAAATAGACACAATTGTGTTAGGATAAACTCTCTTATTCTATAAAATTATACAGTTTAACTCTTCCTTCACAAGGTAACAGATACATAGCACAATCATGCCTCCTCCTAATGCTTTTAACGTTCCTCGTACGTCTAAGACTTTGTACAAACTTTTGGGACATAAATAAACCCCAAATAACGAACACTATAAGCACAGGCTTCATTATACATATAATTATAATTAATAATTAAGTAATATATGGGG